GTGCTGTGGGGTCAGTGCTGTGGGTGGGTGCTGTGGGGTGGGTGCTGCAGCTGTGCCTGCCCCAGCCTGGCCCTGACCCCCCTGTCCTCAGAGAGCCAGCGTGCCTATCGATTCGTGCAAGGCAAGGACTGGGGCTTCAAGAAATTCATCAGGAGAGATTTCCTGCTGGATGAGGCCAACGGACTCCTTCCAGATGACAAACTCACTCTGTTCTGTGAGGTAAGGCAGCCTGTGCAGTGAAAGCACTTCCATTAGCTGAGGGCAGACCTGACCTCCTTTCTCATCCTTGCTTTTAAGGAGTCAGAGGTGTCAGAGCGATGCTGGGTGTTTGTGTGACACTCAGATTTTATTTGTGTGTGTGTGGCTGGTGGCTTTGTCCTCTCTGTGATTCATCCCACTTCACTTCCATTTCTTTTCTGGCTACTTTGTGTTTGGTTTTTACCTGGGCTGATGATAGGAATCAGGCTAAGTTTGATTATCATTTCGCTCCTGGTTTGGTGTTATCATCCATCTGTTTGTGCTCCCTAAGTTGAAGCTCACTTGGGATAATAAGCACCACTAGCTCTGTAGTGGGGACTGGCCTGTTTGTCACTTGCCTGCTGAATAAAAAAGTGTTTTCTTTATTTTCTGAAATGTGTCCATGCAGCCAACAAAAGGAAAAATACAAGAGAAAGGAATTTTACAGTAATCACAATTTTCCCTTCATTGTGTTTGTACTTTCCTACAACTGCTTACAGCATTATTATTTCACTGGTACTTATTTCAGGCCAGTTATTTCTAAAACCAGATATTTAAGTTTAGGAACCTTAAAGAGCAAATTTAAACTCTGATTTAATGTCTTCAGGGCTCCTTCTGTTTTACTTCCGTTTGTCTTTTTAACTGCAAAATCCCTCCTGGAGCTGTGATTTTTGCCAGAAGACAGGTGGAACAAGTTGTTCTCCCTTTGGATCTCCTGCACTGGTTTTTTTTTTAATGGGAATCTTTTCTTTTGTTCAGGAATGAAAGGGAAGCTTCAATCTAAGTTGTTCAACAAGGATTTGGTTTGTGGGTTGTTTTTTTTTTCAGTTTTGCTTGGCCATTCCAAGGCTGCACGTGTTTAAATGAACAAACACCTCAGGGATGTGTATTTTAAGCAGTAACGTGAATTATTAGTGAAGGAGGGAGCCCTTCCTGAACACTTGGAGCAGTAAGGGAGGAGAGCAGGACAGAGCCCTGTGTGACACCTCTGTGGGTCTGGCAGTTCCTCTTTCCTTTGTGGTAAAAGAGCCAAAAACCCTCACACTTGTTGGGTGGAGCCCAAAACGAACGTCTGAGGAGGGAATGTGTGAGACACAATGTAGATAAACCCCAGATCCACAGTAGTCTTGGCAACTAGTCCTGATCAAGTCACTGCACCCTTTGCTGAATTGTTCCCTTCAAAAGCTTCAGTGGTTTGGATTGTTCTGGAGGAGGAGGAACCTCGCTCTTGGCTGCACCTGCCCTTGGGATCTGTTCTGTGAGGAGTCTGAAGGTCGCTGATGCCAGAAGGTTTTGCTGTCTGGAAACAGTTTGCTGAGAACTTCCAGCACCTTGGTTTGGTTTGGGTTTTTTCCCTCTGCCTCCTTTTTCTCCTCTTTTTCCCTTTCCTCCCTGAGTTTGTAACTCCCTTAGCATTCCAGCCGTGCGCTCTCCTGATCCTTCCCTGCTGGCCACAGGTGCCAAATGATGCTGCTCCATCTGTGCTTCCAGCTCTGGATGGAGGAGCTCCCAAAGGAGTTGGGAACACTGGATGTGGAGGTGCCTCTCAAGTGCAGATATCTGTGATTCCTGCACACCACAAGGTTCTTTATTGAAGCTGGAAGGAAGAAGCCCTTTGCTCTCTGCTCATGGCCGGTGCTGAGCGTGGATAATTCTCCCTGGAAATGCTGTTGGGCCAGAGAATGATGGTCCTTGTCAAACATTTCAGACCTGACTTCATTTCCTTGTCAGTTTGGGGATTTTTCAGGCCCTTGTTTTGCAGGTGGGCTTGGTTGTTCATATCCCAACTGCATTGCTTTTTGCTGCTCAAATTACATTCCAGCAGCAGAGGTAAATATCCTTGCAGTCAGGCTCCCAGGAGGGAGGTGTTCCCGAAGTTCTGGCAGCAGCTCTTTTCTGAGCTCTGGGTAGTGTTGGTTCCCTTGCTGAGATGTTGAAAACAGCTTAAGCAAATCCTTCTCTCTTTTAACATCTGAGGCTGGAATCCAGTAGAAAGCCATGGAATAACTGGCTTTATTTCATGTATGAAGAGGATTTATTTGTGGATTTGAGACACAGTTTTTTGGCTGCTCTGTGATCCGTGTTGGACTTCCAACAGGGGATCTGCATCTTAGAATTCCCTTTTAATGCACCTGATGAGTTTTCACCCATCCTGGAGTCCACTTTGCTGCTGTGGATGTCACAGGACAGGGGGATGATGCAGCTCTCAGGTGAATGATGAGGAACTTTGGCTTCTCCACGTGTGCTGTGGCTGGTCCGTGGTGTCCTCTGGCATCTGATACCTGTTTGGTTGTGAGTCTCGTGTGCTTTACACAAAATGTGCCCCCAGAGCCCCCCTGCAGCTTTCTCAGGAGTTGGGATCTGTTCTGACAGGTTTTCCCCTTTCCTTTTCCTCCCTCTCAGTTCATGATTTCCTTCTTCTCCACACTGTGGAGCTTCCTCTGCTGTCCAGTATTCTTTGGCCACTGGTTATTAATAGAGGTGGAATTTAACTTGGACTCGCCAGCAAATCCAGGGAATAGTCTCACGTCTCTTCCCTGTCAATCTCTCTGCTTTATTCCTTCTACAGCAGGGCTGGATTAGTCACTCTGATCTTTTCTAATTGGGCTCTGCCTGATTTCCTGCAGCCCTGACAATGGTTGGGTGCTCAGTGGGCCCTCGGTGAAGGAGGTTCAGCAGCCACACTGGTCCTGCCTCAGAGCAGCTGATTAGGAATCTCTCTGCCTTCCCCAAATCCTCCTAATTATTTGACATAAAGCTGGATTTTCTTTTTTTTTTTTTTTTTAAACTTGCTGTTTAGGTGGGTTTTAATTGTATTTTATGGCATGACAGGAGCACTGAACTGCTGAGGTGCAGAAGGAGAAGCAGGAAGACATTTCAGGAGTCAGCCACTGCCCTTGTGCCTCCTGTGCTGGGTTATAAAAACTCTGTGTGTACTTCATTTTCATGTGGCCTGTTGTCTGTTGCATTATTGATTGGGGAGGGTTTCACAGTGTTGATAGAAGGGGAAAACTAGGTCAGGTGTGGTGTCTGGAAAAGCAGGAAAATAAGGTTCTGCTTCGTTAGGAAACCATCTGACAAAGTTACAGCTCAGCTGTTGGTTTGGGGTTGAGAAGGAAACCTGCTGGTGGCATTTAGGGTTTGGGATGGACACTGGTATCTCTGAACAGAGGAGCAAAGGTGCTTTAAAAACAGGCACGTTTTTAACCCTGCAGTGACTGTGCTGGGGTTTGCTCTGCGTCCCCCTGGCCATAAACCCCTCCTGGAGGGAGAGCCCTCTTTCTGTGCGTGTCTTTGAGGGTGTTTCTGCCTTTGCCTCCCCTGCAGGTGAGTGTGGTGCAGGACTCAGTGAACATCTCTGGCCAGAACACCATGAACATGGTGAAGGTGCCCGAGTGCCGCCTGGCCGACGAGCTGGGCGGGCTCTGGGAGAACTCGCGGTTCACGGACTGCTGCCTCTGCGTGGCAGGCCAGGAGTTCAAGGGGCACAAAGCCATCCTGGCAGGTGGGTGTTTGGCCCTGGAATCGTGGGATGGGTTGGGATGGAAGGGAACTTAAAGCTCAGCCACCCCCTGCCACGGGCAGGGACACCTTCCACTGGCCCAGGGTGCTCCAGCCTGGCCTTGGACACTGCCAGGGCTGGAGCAGCCACAGCTCCTCTGGGCACCCTGTGCCAGGGCCCACACAGGGAAGAATTCCTTCCCAATATCCCATCCAGCCCTGCCCTCTGGCAGTGGGAACCCTCTGTCCCTTGTCCTGTCCCGTCACTGTTCATGTTCTGTTCCATAAAACACAGAAATCAGGAAACAGGCAACAAGATGGATTTTAACTCTGGGAGCCGGAGTTCTTAGCAGAACAGGAGCCAACAGCCTGATGGGCAGTGGGGCTTTTGGAGTTCTTTCATCTTTAAAGGAGGCTCCTGCAGCTCCTTTATCAAAGAGCTGTGGTACCAGAGTGGTTTGTGAGCTGTTCCAGGTGGAGAGGAAATCCCCACTTGGTTTGTAATTGCCTGTCTGCTCCTTTGACAAGGACAGTGGGAGCGTTTTTTGTGGCTGTAGGGTACTCTAAAACATTCCTAAAGCATTTGTAAGGAGAACTTAGCACATTTCCAAGGAATACTTTCCTACCAAGCCAAGAAACACCTTCCCACCCTGGGACTCTCCAGCCTTGCTGGAAGGACGTGAATCCTCCCCTCCCCAGCTGGAAGCTGTGGCAGCCCCAGTCCATGGGGAGGGTTTCTCAGTTGCTGAGGTGTTGCTGAGCCAGGCTCAGCCCCCCCTGAGGACAGAGGAGCCTTTCCAACTGTGTTTTGTTTTCCCTCACAGCGCGTTCCCCAGTGTTCAGCGCCATGTTTGAGCACGAGATGGAGGAGAGTAAAAAGGTAAGACCCTGAGGGGAGGAGAACCTCTCCAGCTGCAGAATGGCTCTCCAGTCAGCTCCTGCTCGCAGAACTTCCCTTGTGTTTGTGATTTTGGTCACCTCTTAACTGTCTTTCTCACATTAGATGCACCTCTCTGCTTCAGCTGCCCTGAAGGGAGGAAGACAGGGATCAAGGAGGCAATTGTACCTTTGTTCCTCTTGGGAAAGAGTCTGGGGTGGGACAGGGAGAAGTAGAGAAGGTGAAATACAACTCAGAATTTTTCTTACTCCATCCACATCTTTTCTTTTTCTGTTTCTTTTTTTGCACTGCTCATTCTGAATAGTTTGCCTCTGAATCCTGAAGGAGTTTGGGGGAGAAGGAGGCCCTGGCTGGATCTTAATAAGCTTTGTTTTCCTGTTGCAGAATCGGGTTGAAATCAATGATGTGGAGCCGGAAGTTTTTAAGGAAATGATGTGTTTTATTTATACTGGGAAGGCTCCAAATCTTGACAAAATGGCTGATGACTTGCTGGCAGCTGCTGACAAGGTAGAGTTGGGATTCTGGGGAGCTGACAGGACTGGGAATGATGTTTTTCCATTCCACAGTGCACTTGGAGCTCCCTGCAGGATCCCCCGTGGGGCTGGGCAGGTTCCTGGAGCTGGTTGTGGCTGACAGGTAACCCTGGGTGTTGTCTGAGGTCCCTCTCACAGAAGATCCACGTCAAACATCCCACAGCTGGATAAATCCAGCTCTTACAATAGCACAGGCAGCAGTTTCTGGGTCCGCTGCTCACTTTGAAGCTTTTTTTAAGCTCTGTTCTCTCACCTGAGCTGGGGGTGAGAAGAAGGTTTCCAGGTGGACCCACAGGGATATTTTTCCATGTGGTTGTTCCCAGCTCTCCAAAGGCTGCTCTGCCTCCTGCCAGCTCCAGGAGAGGCTCCAAAGGGATGCATGGCCAGGACTGGGGAGGTGGTGCTGTGTGTTTGCCTTTGCCAGGGGCAATCCCAGAGGGAAGGGAGCACTGGAGGAAGCCCTGGTGTGGTCTCCAGGGAGCTGGGATGACTGGAAGCTGCTGGAAGTCCCTGTGGATTTGCCAGCTGGGCCTCCTTCCCTTTGCAGCAACTAAGAAGGGAATTAATGCAAGATCCTTGGGCTGATTGTAATCATTGCCACATAGTTTATTCAATATTTAAAGGGTATTGATTGAGAGCTCACAACCACCTTTCTTACTTACTCTTGAGTAAATAAGAAAGAAGCAGCAGTACATTAAGGACAGAGTGGCTTTAATTTTGACTTTCCTGGCTTATAACATAGTCGTGGGGTTTTTTCCCTTTTCAACTCATTCTGTGTCTTTTAAAAGCAGAAATAAAAAAAATAAATCTTTGGTGAAAGCACATAAAGCATCCAGTATTTACCCAGGAGACTGAAACAGCTTCTTCTGAGCTCCTCCTGTCTCTGGGGGGAAATATGTAATTAGACCAAAACCAACCCAAAGCTCGTTTTCTCAGCCCAGGAGATGCTGTGGCAGCACTGGGGCAGTGCTGGTGGAAGGGTGGGGGTTTTAGGTGTGATTAAGAAAGGGGAGAAGGGGAAATGTTGGTACCTGAGAGACCAGAACGGCCAATTTTGCCCACCAATGTAATTAGAAACTGAGCTATTTGCAGCCAAAAATAGAGCTAAAAAATATGTGCACGGAGGAGAATATTCCATTTACAGAAGGAGAATTTGCTGCATTTAAAGCCACTGACAGACAATCCTCTAAACTAATGGCTTGGCCCAATAAACTGGTTTATTTCTCAGTCCAGATTAGAAAGTAAATTTGATTTGCTGTCGTGTTGGGAGCAAACTGTCCTGGCTCTGAGCTGGGCCTTGGCTGGGATCGCTGTGACCAGAGTCCTGTGTGACAAAACGTTTCCAGAATCGAAAATGCCCCGTGGAACCCAGTCCCCTGCAGTACAGCCCAGTGGAACCATGTCCCCTGTGTTCCAGTACAGCCCAGTGGAACCATGTCCCCTGTGTTCCAGTACAGCCCAGTGGAACCATGTCCCCTGTGTTGCAGTACACCCTGGTGTGACAGTGTCTGTGTGACAGTGTCTGTGTTGCAGTACACCCTGGTGTGACAGTGTCTGTGTTGCAGTACCCCTGGTGTGACAGTGTCTGTGTTGCAGTAC